CACAAGAGATACTTATTGGCTGCTTTGTGTACTTCCCAACAATGGATCAAAATATCCTGATCGCATTATTTCTCACAAATAAGTACCATGGTCAATTTTTTGATCCATCCCACTCTCTCCTTTTGGCTACAAGGTTTTGTGACTCTATAAGATGGAGCCCACACTGCAGTTGCAATACAGTTGCATTGTCGGAGGTGCGGTCTCTACACATTGACATTAAACCCAGATCCTTTTTGCCTATTCAAAAACAAAATAATCCTTGCTTTGCATAGAACTCCTTTCACGTCAGGTCAATGTCTTGATACACTACTGAACCCAGGATGATTGTGTATTTTTTCAGGTGAACCAAGCAGCTAATTTACACAGGGTTAAAGGTCCTGTGAGATTGTGCAAAGAGGGAAGTGCCTCTGGGCTCCTGATCAACATTACCACGAGCATCAGTTTATAAGTGAGAGACCTGAGTTCAATTCCAGGCAGAGGGCGAAACCTTGGGCAAGTTTCCTTACTCCACACAGAGCCTAATAATAATCCCTCCAAAAAAACCAAAAACAATAATTAAATTGGTCATTTTCAATCTACGACTGTTTGTGGGACATTGCTGTGCGCAATTGGCTGCCGCGTTCGCCCACAAATATACAGTCAATTCACTTTACAGTGTGTTCTGTGAAGCGCTTTGGGACGTCCTCCTGACGTGAAAAGCGCTATATCAAATGCAAGGATTATTATTATTATATTGACCAGAGAAAGCCCTGCTCTATTGCTGACAGCCACGTATTAACAACAACATCAGTATGTTGTTTCAGGTATTTCTCTTCTGTTTACCAAGCAGGAACCTGGTTGTTAGTCGATTGGCAGATTGCTTTCCCGAGGTAATAATTCCGGGGGTAAAAAAAATAATAATAATTGGGTCACTCATTCCACGACTGTTTGTGGGACACTGCTGTGCACAATTGGCTGCCGCATTTCACCCACAAAATACACAGTCAATCCACTTTCAGCGCCTTGGGACGTGAAAGGCGCTATACAAATGTAATCTTGTTGTTGTTGTTTACACTATATCCTGTGAAGTGTTTTGAGACGTGTCGAAGATGTGATAAGGTACTATATCAAATGCAAGGATTATTATTATATATTATTATTCCTTCAGATAAACTGCAAATTAATTTCATGTTCCATTGTGGGACCTTGCTGTTCACAAGATTGCTGCCGCATTTGCTTGCAGATGCTCTAAAAATAATAATCATTTGATTTAGGGCCTTATCATAGCATTGAGTGGTCTCAAAGCTCTTTACAGAATATGTTGTAAAGTAGATTGACAAAAGTGTATTTTAGGACAAAGACACGGCAGCCAATTGTGTACAACAGTGTCCCACAAACAGTGGTGGATTGAGTGATCAAACTTTTGAAGGGTTTATTTCCCACGGAAAGTGATCCGCCAATCTACTAACAACCGGGTACCTACTTATTGTTAAGTAAACCGAGCCGTGTGAAGTAAGGAAACTGGCCTAAGGTTTAGCCCAGCCTGGGAATCAAACCCGGGTCCTCTCGTTTGCGAGGCGAGCACACTAACCACAAAATAAAACAAGTCGTTCACTTCACGCCTGTTTGGGGGACGTTGCAGTGCACGAGCCGGCTGTTGAGTTCACCCACAAAATACACAGTAAAATCCTGTGAAGCGCTTTGGGAATTCTCCTCGAAGGTGTGACAAGGAGCTACCCCAAATGCAACGATTATTATTCTTATTGTAATCCGCAGGAAAACAACGGATCGGAGTCAATCAGTAATTAAGCGGCTGCCGTAAACTTAATATGCTAATGAGGTTCTGAGTAGCTATAGAAATATAAGTTTCGCCCCCCACCCCCCACCCCCACCCCCCATTCCCTCCAGTTCTATAGCGCATCACATCATCACATGATGTGAGGTGTTCTGGGGCTGTCTCGGACGAGGATGAAATTGGGTGCATTTTTATAATTTATTGCATTTTATTTGCATTAAAGACCGTTTTCCGCTGGCACGATCCAAAGTTATTCAGTGACCCCAGAGAGCTGATTAGCGCAGAAGGAGCATTGCTTGCGAGATTCAAGTCACGAGTTGGAACCTCATTTGCATAGTTAGTTTATGGCAGCTGTTTAATTTCTAATTGGCTTCGCGCTCGCCTGTTCTGTATTTTAAAGTTAAGAATCCATTGTTTTCCATTGGATTATATTGATTATATAATACGTTTCACCTACAAAATATGCAGTCAATTCACTTTACAGTGAAGCATTTTGAGACGTCGCGGAGACGTCTTATATAGGCGCTAGATCAAATGCAAGGATTATTATTATAATCCTCACATTTGGTGTAGCTTTGAAATCGCATCATTGAGGAGACGTCACACAGCACTTCACAGGATTTTGATATACAGTGTATTTTATGGTTGAACGCGGCAGCCAATTTGCTCACTGCAATATACATACACTTATAGCTGGTAAGTTTTTATTCAATTTTATTTTATTAGCTTCGCAAGGGAGAGGACCTCGCTTCGATTCCAGGACAGGGCGAATCATTGGGGAAGTTTCCTTAATCCACATGCCTCTGTTCACCCAGCAGTAAGTAGGAACCTGATCGATTGGCAGATCACTTTTCCAGGGGAAATAATCCCTTCAAAATTGAATAAATAATAATAAAAATAATAATTTGGTCACTCAATCCACGACTGTTTGTGGGACACTGCTGTGAGCAATTGGGTATATTCACCCACAAATACAGTCAATCAATCCACTTTAGAGTAAATTCTGTGAAGCACTTTGAGAAGTCTCGACAACTTGCTAAAGCGCTATATCAAATGCAAGGATTATTACTATAATATACATATATATATGAATTTATAATATTCAGCATTTACAATTCAATAAAAGCTTGCTTTTATTTTGAAAAAGAGCTGGTGTGATTGTATTGTGTGAATATATTTCCATCCTTATCTCACGGAGAACTGAAGAGCAATTTCCTGGTGTTTAATTGTCAGCCCGTTAATCTGAGACTGATTGTTGGTATCTATGCATAGACAGGACAAGCTGCAGACACAGTGAAGACGGGTGTAGCTGAAATGCGTAGTGAGCAAGAAAGAGGTGATTGAAGACATTTCACAGAGATAATCCAGACAATCAAACTGGTGATTGACATTGGTCCAGTGGGATTTATATTAGCATTCTCTCCGGTCACCCCAGTTTGAATCCAGTCGGATTGCATATATATGCCAGATAATAAGAGTCAAGTAAAAATGGATTCAGTAGCACCAAGGGAGATTTCCCAGGAAAAGGGTGCACGCATCAGCTCCTACCCCCATGGGCAAATAACTCCTAACACTGAGCGTCACTACTCACATATGAATAATGGCTTCTCCGGAGGATGTCAGTGGAACTATCCCTTGGTAGGAAGGGAGGAAAAGCTGAGAGAGTGCAAATAGAAACTGTGTGCCTTTCAGCTGAAAATTTAATGAATAAATTAGTTGTGTTAGCAGCAACGGTCTGCAATAATAATAATCCTTGCATTTGATATAGCGCCTTATCACATATTTTTAAATTTACTATATATATTTGACATAGTCCCATTTTGTGTAAATTGGGAAGTTGACAATCAGTCGCCATTACAGACTGAAAACTCTTCTGTCTTTAGCTGCCTTGTGCTTTGTGTTGCAAAAATGATGCCCAATAATAATAATAAATCTCAAGGACCAAGCTGCTGTGAAATTGTCCTGGTCAGAAATTACAATGACAGAAAATTGTGGAGTCCTGTAGCTCAGTGGTTAGAGCACTCGCTTTGCAAGCGAGAGACCTGGGTTCAATTCCCGGCAGAGCGAAACCTTGGGCAAGTTTCCTTACTCCACACGCCTGATAATAATCCCTCAAAAAANGAATAATAAATTGGTCATTTCAATCCATGACTGTTTGTGGGACGCTGCTGTGTGCAATTGGCTGCTGCATTTTTCCCACAAATAGACAATCAATTCACTTTACAGTCTGTTCTGTGAAGTGCTTTGAGACGTCTAGAAGACGTGAAAAGCGCTATATCAAATGCAACGATTATTATTATTATAAGTATCTATTTATGTTAAATCTGAAATGTTAGTGTCTTACATGGAACAAAGGGTATATCTCCCCCTTGTGGAGGCGATAATAAAAACCTTGTGCTGGGGCTGAAATGTATTGAGAATCTGCAATAACGATAATTGTTTTATTGAAACGCGTACGTATTGTTCCTTAAGACATTTATACCTGACAATTTTGTTAATAGCTCGGCTCCCACCCACCTCACCTGCAAAATCTAAACTGTAGGATCTTCCAATGGTATTTCCTCAAAAACTAATCAAGGAAATGACATGAGTTTCCAGGACACCGGGAGAGAGAAACTACCTTCTCTTTTCCAGCAGTACAATGAAAATTCAAGCCAAAGAACTGACTGGGTTCGAAACCTCCGTAGTTGTGCAGAAGATCGATCTGAAGTTCTTTGCGTGGGTAAATTACATAATTCGGGCCGTCTGTAATTCCCTCTGTGTCCACGCTTTGCCCAATTTGCATTGCAGTTCCTCTCTCCTCCCAAGTGTCCATAATCAGTGGTTGGGCCTTCAGCCTCTCTGCCCCCACCCTTTGGAAATCCAGCCCACAGTCCCTTCTCACCGGTCCTTCCCTTGCCGCCTTCAAGGCCCGTCTCAAGACCTGCTTGAAAAGAGAAGGTAGTTTCTCTCTCTCAGGGCCTTTGGTCACCTTCCAACTCCAACCCTCCCTGCCCTCCACGCCTCCTGATCCCAACCCCCAGCTTGGGTGCAAATCTTTGACTGTCCAATGCCGTAGGTGGGACGTCCTCCCGACTAGAAAGCCGTTATACAAATGTAATTTGTTGTTGTTGTTGTCGTCAGGTGATTCAAATTGCATCAGTGTAAATCCTTGCCATGAGCTCGCCTAACACCAAATTCCATCGATTTTCTCACCCCGGCCGAATGCATTTGCTTTGTGTTCCAGATGATCGCCATGTCTCCGGGCGCTGACCTGAGGGATCCCTCCCACAGCCAGACGGTGCTCTGCTGTCTGAACGAACAGCGCACCCGGGGGATGCTCTGTGACGTCACCATCGTGGTGGAGGACAGCAAGTTCAAGGCCCACAAAAATGTGTTGGCGGCAGCCAGCCTGTACTTTAAGAACCTGTTCTCCAGCCAGGAGCTGTGGCTGGTGGGACATGTCCTGGAGCTGCCGGACTTCAAGGCGGACGTCTTTGCCGACGTGCTTCATTTCATCTACAGCGACAAGGTGCCCATGAGGGAGTCCGACAGAGCCAGCGATCTCGTTGAGGCTGGCAGGCGGTTGGGGATAACGTTTCTACAAACGCTTGTTCCACAGCAGGACTCGGAGGTTCCCGTCAGCTCCTCGCCCGATTGCCCTCGGTCGCTGTCTCAGGTTTCTTCCCTCTCCGAGTCGGCGAGTGCCCAGAACTTCAAAGAGGAGACGCCAAACTCCGAGCACGGCAAACCCGCGGAGGATTTCTATTTCGCAAACGGGCCTCGAATCACAAACGCCTTTTCCATCTTCGACATGCAAGCCGGGGCGGACTTGTTCTTCCCCATCGACCTGAGTACGAATGTCGGCAAAGACCAGGTGCGGTCTGATCAGCTGCCCGTCACGTGTGTTGGCCAGAGCCCACAGCAGATGCCTGCTCAGACATTAGCTGAACACTCTTACGCTGTGTCCTCTTCCAGAAAGGATCAGCCGGTCCCGGAGCTTTCTTGCCAAATGGACAAACCTGCGGACGATCACGGAAGCCCTTCGGAGAGCAGCACCGATGTTGGTGCTTGTGTTCGTTCAGGAGATGCGGAGAACAGTCATGTGGAGAACCAGGTTTCCAACGGTTTCCAAACCCCAAACACTGTGAATGCAGCGGGATTTAAAGTTCTACGGTTTAACTTGAACGCACTGCAAAACAGCAGCGCACCAATGGGCTTTGTGCCAATGGCTGGGCCGTTGAATGGACCCACTGAGAGCACTGATGAGGTACCTATGGGTGGGGGAATGGATGAGGAGACAGGCTCTGCTCCTGAGGGAGAGTTGAGCAAACCTGAGCCCACTGCTAGCTGGTCAGAGCCGGCGATAAAGGTCAAGAGTCCGGCCACTTACACCTGCAAGTACTGTCCGAGGGCATTCAGCAGCCGTATATCCCTGAATGTTCACTCTCAGCTCCACACCACAATCCTGGATAAACCCTTCTCCTGCAGGCACTGTGGCAAGTCATTCGTGCATCTGAAGAGACTCCAAACTCATGCCCAGCTGTGCGGGGGGCCTGGAGCCAGGGGTTCCAATCGAGAGTCTCAGAATGGACAAGCGGAGAGTTTTTCCGGAGAAAACACCACCGGTGCGGACAAAGACCCCGGCTCCATTCCACACGCCCTGGAGCTGGGGACCCCTGGCAGGTTGTCAATGGGTCGTGTGAGGTCCATGAGGGGTAACAACGCCTCACCAGAACCCGACCACTTTGTGAAAGTAGTTGAGGGGCAGATCCTGTACTACTGCAGTGTGTGTAAAAGATCTTACTTGACTCTCTCCAGCCTGAAGAGACATGCCAATGTCCACTCGTGGCGGAGAACCTACCCTTGTCATTACTGCAACAAAGTGTTTGCTCTGGCAGAATACCGCACCAAGCATGAGATCTGGCACACGGGAGAGAGGCGATACCAGTGCATATTTTGCCTGGAGGCCTTTATGACCTATTACGCTTTGAAGACGCACCAGAAGTCTTTTCACGGCATCGACCCAGGTCTGTCCACCAACAAAAAGGCAGCGAGCGGTGGCTACAGAGCCAAGATGTGCCCGTTTAAGCTCTACAGGCTTCTCCCCATGAAGCTGAAGAAGAGACCGTACAAAACATACACCACTCAATCGTTTCCAGCCAACACCATCCAAGTTACTTCAACCAATGATGACGCCAATTCTTTTGGTGTTGGTCCCTCCAACGCTGACCCTGCCTCGGCCTCAGCGGACGCCCAAGACCCGCCAAGCCCCTTGGGAGGTGTCGAGGAGATGACTTCATTGCAACAGCCTTTGCCTTATGCACTGACATCCTTGGCAAGAACTCGACACGAGTCAAACCCAGGAGCTCCAGGGCAAAGCAGCCTATCTCCTGATCAGTGCCTAAACAACACTCTTTCCATCAATTGCTATTTCAACAAGTCTTTGGTGTCCACAGAAAATCAAGTCAATGGTCCCAGTGGGAAAGACCACCCTGCTCATGGGCAACAAGTCTTGCCCTGCTCAGATGTTAAAAGTTTGGGACAATCTGTTATCAACTACGGGCACACAGCTCCCTCGGTTATAATGCACAGCAACCGAGTGTCGTCCGTGATCAAGCACGGAAACGCGTTTTCGTCCGTTATTACGTATCAGAGCAGAGGGCAGTCTGACACTGCTGCTCAACACCCTCTTCCACAGTCCAGTGCGAGCCACGACTCTTCCGATACAGTGCCAAGGAGGAGCCTTGCTAAAGATGGGGCGAAATGGCAAAACAAAGGCAGCTCCAAGAAGACATTAGAAACAGCCAAAGGATATGGGGCGGCCTCAGGACCAGGGGCTGCGTCAAAGAGTCTTCCCAGTGCCTACTCCACGGGAAGCAGGACGGAAACCTACATCGCGAAGCCGGCTTGTCCAGGGACATCTACAGACCGCCAGGTGGCTCCTCTTTGTCAGATCACAGTGAGAATTGGAGGCGAGGCAATCGTAAGGAGGCGAATTGCAGGATCCAAGCTGTTTGGTAAAAATGGTCGAAAGACAAAATGGCCAAATGCGATTGAAGAGCAGGCAAGGATGGACAGTGTGAAAATGAAAGAAGGTGAGGATCAGGCTTTGGGTTCGCTTGATCAGACAGACCCCAGCGGAGGGGCCCTGGATCCTGCGTTAGGTACTGAGACGGGAGACGAGTTGAGCGATCAGGATTCAAATGACAAACTCTGGCGGCCATATTACAACTACAAGCAAAGGAAGAGACCCAAAGGCTTTCGCAAGTTGAGGAAGTCCAGCTGGAAGAGGAAGTGTGGGGGCAAGGCTTCTCACCGCCTGGCGCTGGTGGGTGGCAGTGGGCTAGAACCACTTGTCAATGACCGTCCAGAGAAACCCGCTGCAAACCAAGACGTCAACGCACCATCTCAGGAGGTTTGTGACAAAACCAGCCCAACTGATGAGGAAATGGAAGACCATCTGACGGGGCTCTATTCGTGTGATTTCTGCTCCAAGCCCTTTTCCAACTCTTCCGCCTTGAAGTTGCATGTGAGGTGCCACACTGGAGAGCAGCCATTCTGCTGTAGGACCTGCGGCCGATGTTTCTCCATCCAAAGCAACCTGCACAAGCACGAGCGCATCCATCTGGGCGTCAAGGAGTTTATTTGCCTGTACTGCGATAAAGCCTTCACGCTGAGCGAGTCCCTGAAGAAACACGAGAGGATCCACACTGGAGATAAGAGGTACCGTTGCCCCTTCTGCCCCCAGCGGTTCCTTTACCTGAACACCAAGAAGAATCACGAGCGCAAACACCTGGACCATAAGAGGCCCCAGAAGGAGGGGGAGAAGCGCCCTCCCTCTCAGGGTCTCAAAGTCGGCAAAACCGTGGCTGCCCTCGGCACCCGTCAAAAGAGGCGCCGAATCAAGGTGGCCGTTGGGGCACACGACTCCCCCTCACATCACCAAAGCAATCTCCCCGACGGCGGAGGAGTCAGTGAGACGGAACCGGAGCGCGATGAGCCAACGAGTGCAGGCGCCCCAGAGGCGGAGGCAAAGGTTGACGTGCCGACCACTCCCGGCAACGTTGACCAGATGGCGCAGGATTCACCGGGCACCGAGCCGAGCCACGACAACCATCCGCCCGAATCAGCAGCAACGGCAGCGAGACACAACTATGCCATTTACCCCTGGCCCAGTGCCCACTTTGTGTGCCCGGATCTCGCTCCGAAGGCGCTGGCACAGAATACCGAGCACGCTTGGCAGATTTGCCAGCCTAACTTTGACAGCAACCTGGCTCTCTGCACAAATATCTCTTACAATCCGTGCGACAATAACCATGGAAACCACGACAGACTGGTGTTCTATCAAAGCCCTGAGACGTTTTACAATCGGCAGGTGGGCGGCTTGGCCTATAGAGCTCTCTGAGGGGCTCAGTCCCTAAGCGGGCAATGCTCTCCTCTGCAGATTGTGGGCTGGAGAGGGGGTTGATTTGGAACATTCTGAATCAGTGGGACAGTATAACCCTGTCAACGTCCCACTGAGTGTTCATGTGTATAATAGTGGGGTGTCATTGTTAAAAAAAAGTCCTATATATATTTTTGTCTTTACTTGAGGGAAAAACAAGATCTCACTATCTCTTTGAAGCCACAATCTCTGGTAATCCCTGCTCTCAATTCTCAGTCTGTAGCTTTAAACTCACCGGTGTTGTGGAAAACCAAAAAGAAAACGCAACTCCCTTCTCTCTCTCTCTGTCTCTGAATCCCTGATCGCTATGTTCACTGTGTGTTCGGAACCAAACTAAAGACATTTGCCGAGGACCGAAGAGCTTCAATAAGAGTGGTTATAGGGTGAAGCAGCCAGAACGCTGCATCACATTGGAGTTGGTGTCCAAAAAAAACACACACTGAAGCAGCGTTGCAAAAAAAATAATTGGACATGTGAACGTTTCAGCCTCCTGTGTATGTGGAAATATGTTAGAGGTGAAACACATGTACAGGGTTTCCACAAAGTCCTGTTAACCCCCATGTCGTTTTTTTCTACAATGCACTGACCAACAACTGAAACACGTGGAAGAATGATGAATTGTATTTAGAAGTACTTCATTTTATTCAGTACAAGTGTTTAACTGTATATAGACGCCCAGAGGATTGGTGTGGTGTGAGCACCGTTTTCATGGCAGATAATGATCCTTCGCCATGTTCGGTGCAACATCTTTCCTAACATGGATGGAGTGACTATGCGAAATACATCTCTGACAGCTTGTTTCAGCTCCTATTAGTCTCATATTGCTGTTTTGTAACAAGGGGGTAAGAGGACTTTCTGGACACACTGTGTACACTGTCCAGGTCCTGTGTAGCTGGTTACGTCCCCGATTACATTAGAGCCCCGATAACTGTGCAGTTCTATTTTGTGGTGTCCACTGTGCCATCTTGCTTCCTCGAAGTGCATGCTTAACTGGAGCTAAGGGAGGGGTGAAATAAAATGGGACGTCTCGGAATCGATTCGATTTGATTCGATCACCTTGAATTGGTTTGCGAGGTGTCGCATTTTCTCCCCTTATTTCTTTTTTTTCTAATTTTTACAAAATTGCACCTCAGCTGTTTGTGAGTCAAAAGAAGAGTTTTAATAGGTTTGCTTTTCATTTTGTTTTACGGTTTTTATATATTATATATATATGATATATATATATATTGTATATAATTCCTAGAAAAAGTGTGTGGTTTACATGTTCTATCTAGGCAGCTTTTCTATTGGGTATATATTGGCAATAATTCGAATTGCATACTGTAAACCTCTTGTGACTGCTATTGGATCATGTTCCTTGTAGCTGAGTGCAAAGCAATATGTGTCAAAGAGCAAATGGTTTGTGTTTGAAGGGAAAGCACTTTTGGGTAATGGCAGTGTGCAAAGTTAGAGAGCACTGTCAGCGAAGGTCATGGTGTAATAAAACAGAATAAAAGTGTGTTTTGTTTTGTTGAATGACATGTGACGAGTCATTAAATCTTATAGTCTATGTTATATAGGAACATGGAACAGGAGTAGACCATTCAACCCCTTGCGCCTGTTCCGCCATTCTATTAGATCATGGCTGATCTGTTCCTCAACTCGAATTATTTATTATTAATTATTCATTCAACATATCCCGTGCTTTTATAATGTGCTACTTCAGCAGGCTAGCAGTTGTTGGCCCAGCGGAACGAACAAAGGAGTTGACCAAGGAGTGGAGTGAGAAGAAAGGAAATGTCAAAAAAACTTTTTTTTTTGTCAGCCAGGTGTTTGACACACACAGATACCCATCACCATGCTTAAGAGTTTCCAAATCAAATTGAGTTCCACATATGCATGCCACCTGCACACGGAAATTTTCCTGTGTCTGTTTATCTAATTCCAGAGAGCGTTGGGCACGGGTTGGCAAGAACCAAGGTGTGGGGACCTCTGATTGTGCGTTGGGTTACCGCTGGAGTTTAACCATGTAATATACCAATGGAAGAGCTGTCTGGCAAGCTTCCTGCTGCTTGGCCAGCTAAGATAACCTTACCTGTTAGGGCTTTGATTTGTAGGGTTAACAGTAACTGATGGGAAGAATCCCTGCCCTCAATAAAAGGAAAACATAGTTTGGAAATAATGAGGCAATGATGATGATGTCAATTTCAGCTCTGCTTTGTCTACAGGGTTTTTAGTCTAGACTGTGGGCCACCACCTGCATGGAACTGCTGGGTCAGAGCCCTATGTTACATGGAGTATAGAGATCCAAGCGAGTACCAGCACATCAGGTCTTTATTCCAGCATTAAAGCTTCCTCCCCATGTACTGTGATATCACACCCACCACCACCACCACCACACACCCAGCTCCACTGTTCCACTCCTCTCTGGAATCAAATATAATAGCAGAATTACTGCATTCATGGGTTTCATTTCTCTGCTCCTTCCAAGTAAAGCAGCCCAAGGCAAACACCTTTACACAGCACAGGAAGGGAGTGTCATATCATTATGAGTATCAAAACAAGTCTTAAAGGGACCGTGTTGTTTTCATGGTTTCATCATCTTTCTGCACGTAAAGGGAGCTCCGTTTCGAAAAAAACGAAGACACCACAAGATAACCGATCACTTTTTGAATTTCCTATTTTGGTGATGGTTTGTAGTGAAGCTATTTCTTTTAACTATTTTTTTTGGGGGAAAAAAGCGTCTTTAATGTGGACTGAATCAAAGCCAATGGCGAAACATAAGGCTTCATTTCCAAGTATTGAAAATGACACATTTCCGATCCACGTGTGTCTGGGGAAGGCAGGATCAGGGCTCACCCAATGCTGCTTTTTCCAACAATCAACACTCACTGCCAGGAATCACACATGAATTAATGAATAATAATGTCTGGAATCAGTACCACAGTAAAAATACTAAAATAAAAAAATAAAATAATGATAATCCTTGCATTTGATTTAGAGCCTTATTACGTCTTTCAAACGTCTCAAAGCGCTTCGCAGAATATACCATAAAGTTAATTGACTGTATATTTTGTGGAAGCCAATTGCACACAGCAGTGTCCCACCAACAGTCATGGATTGAGCAACCAAACTATTATGATCTTTTTTGAAGGGATTATTACCCCCGGAAAAGTGATCCACCAATTGACTTAACAACCGGGTTCCCACTTACTGTGAGGTAAACAGAGGCGTGTGAGTGTCACCCGATACTGCTCTGGTGCCTATGGTGTGCCATATACTATGCAGCAATTGTGCAATTCAATGCTGTGCTAATACTGGGTCGGGCTAATACCAGGATAATTTAATGCTGCTCTAAGGCTAATGTAATAAGCTCAGGTAATAAGCCCTTGTTGTTGAGTCAGGCCTGGAGTTGGGTCTTTGTCCAGTTGACCAGACTTTGTGGACAGAGCACGAGCCTCAGTTACAACAGTCACTACAGTTTACAGATATTTTGGGAAGCGCTTTTTGACATGACGAGGCACTATACCAAAAGCAATTATTGTTATTGTTATTATTATTGTAATTCTGGACTTGTGCTGATGCTGCGGTTAATGTAGCCCGGGATAGAACTGAGCTGGGCTTGAGTTGACCTGGGCTTATACTGGGCTGGAGCTGGGCTGGGGGTTGGAGCTGGGCTTGGGGTTGGGTTTGGGGTGGGGTCAGGGCGGGGCTGGGGGCGGAACCAGGAGTGTGGCTGGGGGCGGGGCTGGGGTGGGGCATGGGGGTGGGGCGGGGCTGTGGGCGGGGTCAGGGCGGGGCTGGGCGGGGCTGGGGGCAGGGCGGGGCTGGGGCGGGTCAGGGCGGGGCGGGGGCGGGGCTGGGGCGGGGCAGGCGGGGGCGGGGCGGGGGGGGGGGGGGGGGGGGGGGGGGGGGGGGGGGGGGGCGGGGCGGGGCTGGGGGCGGGGTCAGGGCGGGGGCGGGGCGGGGGGGGGCGGGGGGCGGGGCGGGGCGGGGGCGGGGCGGGGCGGGGGCGGGTCAGGGCGGGGCTGGGGGCGGGGTCAGGGCGGGGGGGCGGGGCGGGGCTGGGGGCGGGGTCAGGGCGGGGTCAGGGCGGGTGGGGGTGAGAGCTGTTGGGGGCGGATGTAGCAGTAGCAGTGCTGGTGGCAGTGGGAGCAGTGAGTTATGGCGGAAGCAGAGGATCGAGTGCTGCGCGTTTTACAGTGTGTCCGCGGCAAAATCTGTGAGTCAAGAGGCGAGAGAGGAGCGCTCAGTGCCCGAGCGGTGCCCAGAGCCGAGCAGAGAGCTGCCCCCCCCCTCCCCCCCCCGGGGGGGACTGGGCTCCAGCCCTGGGGAGGGGAGGGGAGGGGAGGGGGACATGTGCTGAGCCCATTGCTGAGCAGCACTGAACATCAGATGTTCATTGCCCTGTTACTGAGAGAGGAGAGAGCGAGTGTGTGTGTGAGTGTCTGTGTGTGTGTGTCTGTGAGTGTCTGTGTGTGTGTGTGTCTGTGGTGTGTGTCTGTGTGTGAGTGTCTGTGTGTGTGTGTCTGTGGTGTGTGTGTGTGTGTGTGTGTGTCTGTCTGGTGTGTGTGTGTGGATGAATGATGCATAAGTGTGTGAGTGTGTGTGTGTCAAATCAGACAAGAGATTGGAAAGGAGTGAGTGTGAGTGTGAGTGTGCGAGACCGTGCCAGCGGGCGTGTGAACCCGCCCGCCCGCCCGCGCGCGCGGACGTACTCGTGAGCAAGTGAGCAAAGCGAGTGTGCGAACAGTGTAAGAGAGCGGATATTGGCGCCGGCGACTGTGCCAGCGAAGGGCGCGAGCGTGTGATAATGTCCGCCCGCTCCCGAGTCAGCGAGTGCGTGTGAGAGTGCGGTCGAGCGAGTCAATTGCGAGCGTGCAAGGATGTGTCGGGGAGAAAGTGAGTGCGAAAATGCACGTGCGGGTGTGCGTGCGTAAGTAAGCAAGCAAGAGTGTCAATCTGTGTGTCAGTGAGAGAGTAATGTGTGCGGGTGCGTGTGCGGGTGCGTGTGAACAGTCTCTTGGGTCTGATTCTCTGCCTTTCAGTGAAGGTGAACCTGTAAACCTCTCCCCTCTGCTCCGGTGGCTGTTGCCTGTGCGCCCCACCGGAGGGACGTTCACGGGTTAGCTCGGCTCGGGGTGCAGTTTCACGGCACGTTGAAGGCTCCTCGATCACCCGCCCCCGGGGTCGATATGTCGCACTGGAGCACGGCGGTGGGCGAGGACAGCTCATTCAGCCGTGGGGATGGAAAGAGGGAGGAAGGTGGTGGGTGAGGAAAGGCATTACAATGAGCTCACAGTCACGTTCGTACACGAGCAATTAGAAAAGGGCTGACGGTGATGATGGGGGTGGGGGGCAGAGGGGGGTGTTTATTTACCCCTCTCTCTCTATCTAGCCCAGGGTGAGATCAGTAACTCAGCACAGGTTGGATGGATAGAACCTGGGACTTTCCTAAATTGTAGGAATCAGCCTCTTACTGAACCATCAGGGGGAACCTTAGATTTGAAAGTGTAAGCGTGGGATGTCCTCCCGACATGAGTGGAGCATGTATCAATGCAATTTGTTGATGTTGTTGCTGATATTCCGAGTGGTTTTCTAAGTCTCCCGTGAGGACACTCATCGACATTTGTGATGTGTGCCTGCGTTGGTGACGGTGGTGTAATTATAACTTTTTTTGGGTCAACTGGGTGCATGTGGAGACCCATCACCATGCTTAAGAGTTATCCAAATCAGACTCGAGAGCTCCACATATTGCCACCTACAAATTGGCAATTTCCCTGTGTCTTGAATGGAATGCACACTTTCTACTTGGAGAGTATTAGGTGCAAGCTGGGGAGAGCCAAGGCTTTGTGTCCGTTGGGAGTCTGTAGCATATTTGCTCAGAGCACTCGCCTCACAAGCGAGAGGACCGGGGTTAGATTGCTGGGCAGGGTTAAATCTTAGGCAAGTTTCCTTATTCCACACACCTCTATTTACTTAGCAGTAAGTAGGAGCCCGGCTGTTAATCGATTGGCGGATCACTTTCCAGAGGTAATAATCCTTCACTCCCCACCCCCCACACAAACAAAATCTGGTCATTAATAATGACTGTTGGTGGGACATTTCTGTGCGCAATTGGCTGCTGCGTTTTACCCACAGAATATAGTCAATCCACTTTACAACATATTCTGTGAAGCCCTCTGAGATATCTCAATGACATGATAAGGCACTATATCAAATACAAGGATTATTATTAACCAGTTTATTACTAGGAACGCTTTGTGAGTATGAAATATGTGAGGGATTTGCCACCATCCTCCTGCCCACTGAGTGATGGTTCCACCAGTTGAGGGTGCAGAGCTTGAGCAGCAGCTGCTTAACCTCTCTGCGTACCAATCATGGTAGATACCAAGCTCTGGATATATATGAACACGTGTTCACGAATATGGACTCCAGGTAACTCCTTTCAGCACCTGTAGTTCCAAGCCTCAGAGTTTCCTCATCGGCTATTCAATGGACTTCAGTGTAGTGGGAAGACCTTTGCAGCACAGCTTGTGACTTACCAGCCACTTTGATATTCTGGAGGCCCCAGTGCATTGCTTAAAACAAGTTTGCTCAACACAACTGCTTAATCCAGATCCTCATGGTCGGAGCTTTGGTAAATAGACGTGCTGCCATGAAGCAGGCTCTAGAGTGTGACAGTTCAGTGCAGGCCAGAGGCCCTCCCTCGCTACCAGCAGTCGCTTCCCCTTTTAACCCCAAATGCATCTTAACAAATGGGCCAGAGGACTCAACAAATGGACCAAAGGAAATCCCTCCAGTGCACAATGCAGGAGCTTGGATCCATGAAGGAAATCTCTTTGGACATGTGCCGCAAGGTTAACTTGAATTGGGACCTTATTGTCTTTGAAGAGAGATAAGAACAACCAGGGTGCCCTTTGCTCCTTCGCAGCAGGATCCCAAAGAAATTAGTGCAACATGTGGGTTAGTTCATATAAAATGACACGAACGATAATGTTACGAGACCGTTCAAAGTGTGAGGCAATTGAATGCGTCATAAATTGATGCATTTTAAGCATGTGTTGAGAATTGTGTGGTGTAGCATTAACTGAGAATTAATAACCTGGGATCTTATTCCCAGTTCCTTTTTGTTAATACAAAGTATGGGGGTTGGGGGGGGGGAAATGCGGAGGGGGAGGAGAAGCGGTGCGGTAAAAGGTATGACATTTCATAACAGATTGAACGTGGACCTATTATGAAAAGTTGCAAATTTACCCTATGTGAGTTCTGTGAAAGAGTTCGGAGTTAGGTTTAGTAGCAAATGGTTGTCTGGTTTGCAAAGGCTGATCGAAATCCAGCAAGTCTTGTGGGATCATCTGGTTCACTGCCTGTTACATCTGTGCGTGGGCTCGCAACGTACTATACCAGCAGAGGGTAAGCTCGTGAGTGCACAGAAGATTGCCTGTAGCTTGTCTGAGGGTGTTGCACAGTTGTACGAGTCTGTCAATCCCATTAATTCGAGTTTATATTTACACACTACTACGTCTTGTGCATATTCAAAATTGCCTCCCACCTCCCCCCGGGGTATCAGGTTGTGTTTGAGCTACATTCACAGCCATCCACAAATCTGTTCTCTGTTGCTCTGTGGTCTTAGCCACTTTTCTGAATCCATCATGAGTTCGACACAGCGCCTGTTAACATTGAAAGCACTCGACTCAGAATTGGTGTAGTGACGGTATTTTGTGGGCAAAAGCTGCAGCCAGTTAGCGAGCAGCAAGATCCCACAAACAGCCGTGAAGTGAATGAGCAATTTGATGTGGGGTGATGGGGGGGGGGGGCGCAGGGGCACTGGAGACCAGACTTTAACCTCCACCAGAACAGGCAGATGCCTTGGTTTAAGGTCTCGTCTGAATGACGGCACTGCCTGCGCTGCTGCACTGGAATTCAGCAACGATCCATCGCAACTGTCCCCTGAAGTAGATTGTGGTTGTTGTGACACGTGACAGGATGAAGGGGGGCACAGCAGCAGTTACATTGGACGGATCACGTGACCAGAAGGGCTAACGCAGGAGAAGTGCAGCTCAGGGTGACAGGAAGTGAGACCGAGACTTTCACTGCAGATCAAAGGCCGTCAGGTGCATTGTGCTCGGGAATCCTTTTACCCTGAGTCTCGGGTGATGGGGTCATAGCGAAGGAAAATAGGAGAGACGGGCACTGGACCGGCAGGACTGAACCTCCGACTGTGTCCGCAGTGACCACCGGAGCTCCCTCTTGGTCATTGTTTGTCTCCAGTGCTCGCTGCCCCTCACGGTGACCTAACTGGGACATGCGTCATCCAGACCAGCGAGAACTCCGCTCCCACTCCACTGCCGGGCATGTCAGCTCGGAAACTGATCTCGTGGGAGCGGTGTTCTCATAAAGTCAGCAACTGCAATTATAGAGAATTGCGGTTAGGTGTAGTGACTGAATTTGTAGGCAAGAAGCCGTCATGTCCTCCTTCAGGATCCATCTCAAGACCTTCCTTTTGGACTGTGCCATCGGTCATCTTTCGCCCACAGAATACCCAGTCAGTTCACTTTACAATATGTTCTGTGAAGCTCTTTGAGATGTCTCATTGACATGATAAGGCGCAATATCAGATGCAAGGATTCTTATTATTATTCCCTCCTTCACCCGCCTTGCATCCACCCCTCTCTGATCCCAACCCGCAGCTCAGGTATAAACACCTCGTTGTCCAGCACTTCGGGACGTTCTCCTGACGTGAAAAGCGCTGTGTAAATGCAAGTTGTTGTCAGAGCAGAGTTCCCGCTGGCCCTTGTAACCCAGTCACTGTCAGGGCCACACTTTGCAACTGGAATGAATAGCTTCTTTTCTGTCTTAAGTGTTGGGTCTTTAACCGCAATATAATACAGTAAGGAAGCTGCTAGATGCTTCGCTTGCATATTTAAAGAGAAGATTGCCCGAAGCGTAACAGAATTAGGAAATCTGTGTTTTGGTGACGTACACAGTGCAGGAATGGAGATGATCATGACAATCCAACTGGTTAATTTACATACAGGGAGGTCCCACAACCAGCCATGAGTAATTTGACCTGGGGGATTGTTGGTCAGGACACCAGGAGAAACTCCCTTCTCTTTTTGATTCGCATTATGGGATCTTCAATATCCATCTGAATAGTCAGGTGGAACCAATGTTTAAGATCTCACCGAGCACCTCGAGGTAATTTACTGCACTGAGAGC